TTCACGAAATATATCAAGTGCTCGCTGATGCGCGCTCAACTTTCATAAATTTGTAAATATCCTTACACAAGTCTAACTTAATAGGCAAATATATATATATATATAAAACACTAGAAATTATTTATTTTGAATATTAAAAGCACTTTACTCAAAATAAGCAATTAATCATTATTTTTTGGTATTAAATTTCTATAATAATAATATATATGCTTTTGACGATAAAAAAGATAAACACTATTTTTTTTAGTCGATGAAAGCGCTAACATTTTCTTTCTCTTGTCTCTCGATTATTGTTTTCGATTAAGTATCTGGCCGATATGCAACTCGCGTCGCATCAATCATTATATTCGATAACGAGCTTTTGTTTCCGCAACAGGGCGGCCATATTTTCCTATTGCACATATACCTGCAAATGGACATTCGTAATTACGCAACACGCATGCACGTGTGTACTCGCAGCGGGATCGAAGCAGCATTGTGTTGCATGTAGCTTATTATTTCCGAAAATTCGATACCCGTTTCGTCTCCACCATCAGTTTCGACAGCCGGCGCGAGGGCGCGCGCCGTTGACGGCGCATGCGCCGTTCAGCTTAAACGTTTAGCTCCAATATCTAGGAACAATTCGTTTCGAAGATGATGTAGTTTGCCGCTTGTGAATTTGAAACAAATATTAACATCGATACAATTTTTGATATAAATTTAATTTTTGATGCGTAACAAGAAAAGAAGCACTGTTTCTGTTTCAGGTTTTTTGTGCAAAAAATCACTTTTGTTTAAACAACATTTTTCATCGAAATTATTTTTACTCTATGTTTTTATTTTATGTTTTCCAATCAAATATAAATTATTCGCGGCGCTATTTAACGGCAACTCATTCTAAAACATACTATTCACTATTCGAATAAGTTTTAATCACATTTAAAAATGAGAGATTTTAAGAGTTCGTTTAGTATACAATATTCTACATGAATCGCGTTCCATTTGATAACACTTGTAATCTGTAAACTTTCGCACTTCTTCGTAAGTATTCGAAAATTTCAGAAATCTAAATTGAGAAAAAGTTGAAAAAATTTGAACTTATTAAAACTTGTCAAATTTTATAAAAAAAAGTTTCACACGAAATCATGCACAAGCCACGATTTTTCGCACGAGACATGATTTTTTTCACGAACGCGGATGTGGGATTCGTTTATGTAATAATAATCGCGAGTACCGAATCGTGCCGTTCGCTCGCGCTTTTCGCGAGGCGCGACTGCCGTTTGCCGCCTAGAGAATTTTTCTGCCCAACAGCTGGCAACCTGGATATCGATTGTCATTATTTATATCGTACGTTTCCTCTTCAGTCATCGATTCACTTTTTACATTTTACATTTTTACAGTAATGAGAGAGTTAAGTTTTTCCCACGGGCGTATGGTACTCTAAGTTAGCCCCCACATGTGTGATCATAGGTGTTGTTGAAGGGGAGTCGAGTGTGTGAAGAGAATGACGGATAGCCAGCAGCAGTTTTGCTTGCGGTGGAATAACTTTCAGGCGAACATCACGAGCCAGTTCGAGGCGCTGCGAGATGACGAGGACTTCGTCGACGTTACCTTCGCGTGCGACGGCAGGCGACTCCAGGCGCACAAGGTCGTCCTTTCCGCGTGCAGCCCTTACTTCAAGGAGTTGTTCAAGGTTAGAAAACCATTTTCTTTCCGCTCCCCACCTTAGACGTATCCCGCCCCTCTACCCCCGCCGCCCCACCCCCTCCTGCCTCTCCGTATCCCGTCATCCTTCTTCCCCCTTTCGTCCTCCGATGGCGGCGGTCGTTTCCCCTCGCTCTCCCCCATTTTGCCCCTCCCACCCTCCGTCCCGCCTGGCGTCTCATTGCCCCTCTCCATCTCCCGCTCCCTCTGCCTTTCCATCAAACAGGCGCTCATGTGCGTGTGTGTACGCGCGCGCGCGCGTGTGTGCAATATGTGCGTACGCGCGCGCGAATGCGCGCACGTAACATGCATTTCCTTCGTCTCTCATCTCGCGATGAATAATTCCAAAATTACACAATACCTATTTACGTGACGACCTCTTACGCGTCTTATCTTTTTTGTCGAGCCTCGGGCTCATTTCGCAGCGAGGCGTATCCGTGCGTGTGGGTTACGTCACGACCGTGCATGTATTTTTCGCCCTCTGTCTCCCCCATCCCCTCCCGATCCTCCTCACCCGTCTCTGCCGCGGCCTTTTTCGCGACCGCGCCGAACAAAATTTATAATTGCTGTCCGGCAATTAACGCGCCGGTGAGGGGAGTCGATAAACGGCCGACGGCTCCGCTATGTACGTTTGTTCAATGAAGCAATATTGGCGCTTTCGGAGATAAAATTATGCAACTGTAATCCATTATTTTATCTCTTGTATATATATATATTAATTTTTTTTTAAAGATGACTGTAATTACTTAAATGACAGTAGAATGGAATTATAAAGGAGAAAATTGTAGAGATTATAGAATATATTTCAATGATATGCGCTAATCACAGATAATAAATATCTGGTGATTTAAGTTGCAAAAATTTCATTTAGATATATGGAATTTAATCAAGGATTCAACAATGCTAATGTTTTCCCTAAATTTTCTCCAATTTTACAATCATTTATGAAAAATATAATTACAAAGCTAATTTATGAACATTATATGAACATTATATAATAGTATGAACTTGGTATTTGGAAGAAAAGAAAGTAATGAGTTTTTCATGATTTACTTCTTATTTTATCAATTTTTTTTTCTTCTTTTTTGATAAAAATGTTTAACACATACAAGATTATTATAATATGATTAATAAGTGCATTGGATTTATTTTGCAGACAAATCCTTGTAAGCACCCAATAATTTTTATGCGGGATGTTGAATTTGAACATCTACAATCACTACTAGAATTTATGTACGCTGGAGAAGTAAATATCTCGCAGGCAGAGTTACCTACATTTTTACGTACTGCTGAATCTCTTCAAATTCGTGGCCTCACCGACTCCCAAAGTAATCAGCACAACAACGAAAAGGTGTGTTTAACATAAATTTGCACATTTGTGCCAGGATGTAATGTGTATCGTAATGTATAACTTTTTTTTAATAATTTGCAGCATTTGAAGACAAATAACATCCATGCATCAAATGGCCGTGGCCTGATCTCACCAACCTTTGACGATGAACGCAGTAAAACTCCACCACCTTCGAGCCCTCCACCACTGAAAAGGCTGTGTAAAAGAAGTGATTCACCTCCAATTTCTAGTCCAACACCCTCTGTGCCGCCTTGTGCTACCATTGCACCACGTTCGCGCCCGCTTATCGAGCCTCAAGTTCAGCTCGATTGTTACAAAGATCTCGATATTGTTGAGGTATTCTATATATATATATGTGTGTATTATGATTCATATAATTTTTTATAATATAATATTATTAACAGATCAAGAAAGATTCAAGAACTTTATCCATTTTATTGTTCTTAAAGTAGATTACGATTAACCTCTTACTTCTTATAAACTTTTAAATTTTCAATCAACTTTGTATTGAGTACACATATAGAACCGAAGTTGGACTTGAATCAGAGATCTATGTGTCAACTATGTATTGACATACAGATCGACTGTGTGTCAACTATTTTTATATGGAACCATTTATTATCCTAAATTTTAACTTAAATTATTTTATACTTAATTGTTGCATCTTTTTATATATCTTGTGTATAGAGGTTTACATAATATCTCTTATTAACATATACATATACCTTATATGTTTTCAGCCAAAAATAGAATTACCTGAATATGGCAGTGATGACGATTGCTCACCTAAACAGGAAGCTAATACATTGCCCAGTGGATTTCTCAGCTTGGATAGTGGTATGGAAGTATTACCATCTTATCCCTCATCTTATCAAGGTAATTAGTTTATAAGATATTTTATTAGAAATTAAATATTAGAAGTATTAGAAGTAAATATTTTTATTTTTCAAAAATTGAATTTTTTAGATGTACATTTTAATATTTTTTATATTTACTTAAAAATATAAAATCATTAAAATCCATTATTATTTTATTTTAGGAAACCAGAACGTAGAAGGAGGAATGCCAGGTCCATCACATGGAAGTACGGAATTAAATCAGGAGCAGCAAGGTGAGTCAAAATTTACTATTTCTTGGTAGTGCGAGCACCATTACAAACAGCAACAACCTAGCCATTACATCACAAATGTCAAATGTGAGTAGAAACAAAAGGAAGCAGAAAGGAATCTTGATGGTTTGAAATGGTAAGCTCGTGTGTAGCTCGGTAGGTCTTGGTAGGTGGTAGGAGACATTTGACACTCGGAGGCTGTAACAGGCCTGAGTCCACAGAGTGCAGTTTGCAGTTAAGCAGCTGTGTTGTATGAACGTTACCGAAATAGCCCGGAAACTTGAATCATTAACAATTAAGTCCTGCGTGTACATATTCAAAAACAATCCCATCCTATTATGCTTTATAATCTTTTGTTTTCCTGCTTCACGTGTATATTAATACGTATACATATATACATACATACATACATACACTAGAGTGCCCTGGTAAAATACAGAAGAAGAATAATCGCTTATTAAAAAGATAATGCTCAAATAGTGTTACCAACAAAAACTCTTAAAATCATATGCTTTCTCGTTTACTAATTATAAATGCCATATTTACATGTAACAAGTTTTTAAATTGGCTTGTACATATTGCTTTGGATCAAATCAATGATATAATGAAATGATATGGTTAGTAGTATATAATTTTTATGTACATTACATTATAATTGCACATTAAATTAAAAGCTAATTATTGATGAGTAAATGAAAAATATAATACACAGGATTATATCTGTTATGTACTTATGATTACTTCACTATTATATATAATATCAGTACATTGTTTCCTTAATGATTTGAATACAACAATTTTGAATTGCTGACTCGTATTTCAGTTTCTCATTTTCTATGACAAAAACAAATATTAATAAGAATCTACATTACTAAACAATTTATAACTAATAATGGAGATTATGTTATCATATAAAATGAACTCTACTTCATCGAAATGAATTATAAATCTGCGTTTATATGTCTATAATAACATCTATTTTTCTATTTTGAAGTATTACATTTACATGTAGTGGAAAAAAGTGAATGTGCAGTACAATATGCAAAACAAGACTCACTAATTTACTGGTTCTCATTATTCATCGATTCATGCTTACCATTGTTTTCAAACTATATGTTTTTTCTTACTGCATTACCATTGTTTTGTCTGCCAAACATATTTGACTCATCGCATCCTTGCAAGTGATACTCTTGCGGGGGGACCCTTTTTGTACTGTACCGTGCAGGCAGCAAAAATTGGGTAGCGCTACATAGGGTTGTTTGCTGGTTGTTGCTGTCCTGTGGTGGGTGGTATCATTCTGATATTATACGTGGTGTGACAAGGCGTGGTGCTATGCTGTGGTAACGTGCAATGCTGTGGGCTGCTACCGGTTAGAGCAAGTTGTGTGTGTGTTGCAGCTGACCTGCGTAAACTGCACTCGCTGGACCCACGCCCCTGTCCTGTGTGCAACCGCATGTACAGTAACTTGTCCAACCTGCGGCAGCACATGCGCCTCATCCACAACCCTCAGAGTGTCACTTGCCCTCTATGTAACAAGCCATTCAAGACCAAGCTGTACCTGAAGCGTCACCTGGTCAGTTTCCACGAACTCAGTGTGGCAGACAGGCAACGTCAGGAAGAGATCTACCAACATCAAGTTAAGGTTCAGGTCCAGGGACAGGGACAAACGCAGGTTCAGGGAGGAGCACAAGCTCAGACCCAAACACAAGTTCAGGCTCAAACACAAGCTCAGATCCAAGCTCAGACTCAGGTGGATAATAAGGTGCTTTTAGCGACTCCTGTCCCACCTGCTCGGGGTACTACCGAGGAAGGTGGGGCTAGCGGTGGTGGGAGCACCACAGAACCAAAGCTCAGATCGTATCAGGCACAAGCTGGCGATAATGCTTACCCGATAGAGGTAGCGCAGATTGGTGATTCAAAGCATTTTGCTAGTGGGATGTTGCAATTTGATGCTACGTATCACTAATATGTGTACAGGATTTATTTATTTTTTAATCTATCGCCCAGTATCATTTTGTGATATAGTAACAAATCAAGTTTATCTTTATTGTTTAGTGAACTTGTGATTCAATAGGAAACGTATCTTCGTAGTTGACCGACAAGTAGGTAGAAATAACGTTACGACACAAGGCTGATTCCGTATTTAATAATCAGGTTCTGAGCACTCAAGTGCGCAGGTGCATAACTTATAATTTTTAATCTTTTAAAATGCGTATGGAATTCTTGTCGCACGTGTACGAGTGGAGGACAAGAAGTCAAATCCGATTGACGGTCGCGTACTTGATTGTTTTCGTCCGTAATAAGACGCCTATATAGATCATTCATACGAATGATTCATACGAAGGTCGACAGTGTATATAGGTTTGGGAGACTAGTTTACATATAAAAGTCCCGTGCCTATTCATCGTAAAGATGAACGCTGATGAGGGAGAGAACGACTAAAATGCCGATGGTGGAGCAGCCATCCCACCTCGTACTGATAATTCTGCAGCCGGATACTTGTTGTTTTATTTAATGCTATACAGTGTTATACAGACTACAGATATTTACTACAATATTATATTCTTACAGAGGATTATATTTACTTTATTATTGCAACGCAATGTGCAATGACATAGCTCGTACATGATATATTTTTCACATGCATACATTGCAATATACAGCCAATTGACAGCTCAACAGAGTAATAATATTTATTATTAACAGTTATCAACAAACCGTGATCGCAATAATGCAGCAGATTGAATTTAACAATATATAATAAGAAGGCAATGTCTCTGCTGGTTTCTTACTTCTAAGCGCGTCCATAGTAGGACTTGTTCTTTAAGTCTTAAATATTAAGTCTCTATATAGTATGCATATTTATAGAAATAGTATAAAGATGCTTATTTCATTCTATTCCTGTAAAGGATCATAGACTATATTTTTAAATTATTTTTTTTAGTTTATATTTAGTTTTTTACGTATTTTAATTTTTATTAGAGAAAAAACTTTTTAAATATTAAAGTAATATTTAGTATCAGAGGAAATTTCGGTTTCGCGTCAGGTTCATATAATAACAACAACTTTGCGAGAGAGACGGTATACCTTTGTAAGAAGGAAAAAAGTTTTTCTTAAAAATAGTTTTAATAGTCTTAAAGATTTTTTCAAAAATTTAGCATTATGCATATGCATATTTATTACAATTACGATAATTATTTTTATAATTATTTTTATTAGTTTCTATCTTCCTATTGCAACTCTGTTATCTTTAATGGTACGTTTCAGTTTTAGCTTTCTATAAAAGTAAACCAGCATGGATATCTGCCACACAATTCCATAGCCATAGTACCACACAGTACAACTCAGGATCTTTTATATTATATTTTACAGATGACAATAGTTCCATAAGTACGATTTATAATAACGATTCTAGGAAATGGGGCACAGAGTATGTTCCCTAGAATCGTAACTTTTTAAGTCGTACCATTCATATGACAGGCTCCTTACCTCACATACAATCAAATTAAACAGATGCAGCTATATATTATTATAATATATTTACATACAACAATTTACAATAGTACTGGGAAGTTGCAACGACTGCAACCAACACAGATTGCCGATATTATACAAACGGTTTTTATTATCTGTTATTACATTGGTAAGTGATTGCAATGTTTTTTTACAAGTTAAATGTACTACGGATATACATTCAAGATTTTTTGTTTATGATATGAATGGATGCCCAGCACAACTGACAATTAGTACCGAAATAAGATTAGATTATAAATGTTGCATATCATATTATAATATTGTTATACATTTGCCAAGCAGTGTTACATTCATCAACTCTCAGGCCTCGGATCATATATGAATTTTCTGTTTCTTATATATTTTTATTATACGATACTATATATAATATACATTATATGTAATATATAATACATATACTACAATATATTATATACGCATATATAATATATAATTATATGTAGAATATTATATATATAAAATATAATGTCATATTTAGACTTATATATATTATATATAACTAAACATCACAGACGGATGCGTGCACGTACACGAGCGCCTTTTGAGTTTTTAATATCATGCGAAAAATAATTATACAAATCACACAATTACAATAATCTAACATTTATAATAAGCTGTTAAAACATGATGATATACGATCCACTGTGCTGACGGTTACTCTCATAATTTGAAGTGAATAAAACGAGAAAACCGGTATCGTGGAGATAACAATGAATTCAACAATCAGTTTAATACGGCTTTAAGAATGAAAGATGTGTATACTATTATTATGTTATATATAATATATATAATTAATTGGAAATATTCAGTTATTAATTTCTACAATACAATATGTAGAACAAATTATAGAACAAGAGAGAAAGGCATATTTATTTTACATTATGATTATGCATTTGATATTTTTATGTTTATTATTCTACTTAGCTTGTTTTTTGTGTTAGCAATAAGATCTACGATTGATATTATTTATAAAAGTATTATTTGTACTGTTAAGATCTTTTCTTTGATATTCGATTCATTTTAGTAGTACTACTCGATCCTTTGCCTGAGATCCATATACTGTGTATATCAGAGTGATGTGTTACAGAATGTCACATAATAGTAAGCATCATTTGACAGGCCGGACTTCGCTGGGCATTAAAAACCGGTTAACCTAGCTAATATCACAATACAATTTCGAACATTCACTGTTATAATTGCGATTATATTACGAATTCAAATGGTGTGCGAACATTCCGTAATCCGCAGCACGGAGACAGCAGAGAACAGAAAATAGGAGGAAAAAAATAAAAAAAAAAAAAAGAAAAGAAAAGACAGAAGATGAAAAAGAAACGAAACGATGGTGTTATCGGTCGAACAAGCACACTTATAAGCTAATAGAAGAAAAACTCGCAAAGAACTCTGCATATTTTTTTGGATCTAACAATACAATTTACCGTATATTAACGAAAAGGATATTGACGACACAC